CGGGAACCCACCCCACGGGACCGGGAACCGCCCCCGGGACCGGGAACCCCCCACCGCAACCGGGAACCGCCCCCGGGGAATGGGATCCGCCCCCATGCCCGGCACCGGGAACCTCGCCCGGGACCGGGCCCCCCCCTCCAGGGATCCGCCGTTGCCCCGGGCCTTCCCGCTGCCTCTGCACGTGACCCCTGGCCCCGCCCCCTGGCCCCGCCCCTTCCCCGCCCACCCCGTTTCCCCGGTAACGGCGGCCCCGGCGTGACCCCTGACCCCGCAGAGCGCCCAGGCCCTCGGGGGCCTCGTGGGCGTCACCAGCTCCCGCCTGGGCTCCATGAAGACCCGGTGAGTGACACGCGCGCCGGCCAATGGGGAGCGCGCGCGCGCGAGGGGGTGTGCCGGGGGCGGGCCCTACGCGTTCCAACCAATGGGAATCGGGCGGGTTCGAAGAGGCGGTGCTGGGGGTGGGGCTAGGGGCGGGCCCCGCGCGCTCTTAGCCGAGGGGAATAGCGCGGGTTCAAGGGGGCAGGACTGGGGGCGTGGCCAGGGACGGGCCCGCGCACTCTCAGCCAATTGGGTCAGCGCAGGATGGAGGGGCAGTGCGGGGGCCGTCTCGGGGGGGGCTCCGCGCGCCGTCAGCCAATGGGACGGCCTCAGGGGCGTGGCCCCGCGCAGCTCCAGCCAATGGCGCCGCCGCAGGTTTCAGGGGCTGTTCGGGGGCAGGGCCGGGGAGCGGCGTCGGGGGCGTGGCTAGAGACGGTCCCGGCCCACTCCCAGCCAATGGGGCGGCGGCGGGGGCGGCCCCGGCGCGCTGGCAGCCAATGGGGTCGGCGCGGGTTCGCGGGCATGTGTGGGGGCGGTGCTGGGGGCGGGTCTCGTGCTTTCCCAGCCAATGGGAACGCCGCAGGTTCGAGGGGCTGTTCGGGGGCGGCGCCGGGGGGGTGGCTAGAGGCGGTCCAGGCCCACTCCCAGCCAATGGGGTGGTGTCGGGGGCGGGTCCGGCGCGCCTGCAGCCAATGGGATTGGCCGCAGGTTCGAGCGGCCGTGCGGGGGCAGGGCCGGGGGCGTTGTCGGGGGCGTGGCTAGAGGTGGTCCCGTGCAGCTCCCAGCCAATGGGGTGGCACCGGGGGCGGGGCCGGCGTGCCGACAGCCAATGGGATGGCCGCAGGTTCGAGGGGCCGTGCGGGGGCAGGGCCGGGGGCGGGGCTAGAGGCGGTCCCGGCCCACTCTCAGCCAATGGGGCAGCGGCGTAGGCGGTCCCGGCGCGCCGGCAGCCAATGGGATTGGCCGCGGGTTCGAGGGGCCGTGCGGGGGCAGGGTCGGGGGCGGTGCCGAGGGCGTGGCTAGAGGCGGTCCCTGCCCACTCCCAGCCAATGGGGCGGCGCCGGGGGCGGTCCCGACGCACCGGCAGCCAATGGGATGGCCGCAGGTTCGAGGGGCTGTGCCTGCTGTCGCTGCTGGTGAGCGAGAGCCCCACGGAGCCCTTCCAGCAGCACTGCGTGG